GAAAGAGTGCCCCTGTTGATGGAAAGTTGCAGTGTTAGCACACTCCTTACTAACGCTAGGGAGAGTGATAGAAAACTACTGTAGTGCTGGGCATGTGCTTCAAGCAGAGGCTGGAGGACACTAGAGAATATAACTGTAGACACAAATCCATTTGAAACTATTCACCCAACAGCTTTTTTTTAATATGATTCTGCTTGTGTACTCCTTTATGGGAAAGCAAATGTCTTGCTTGTAATCTTACAGCTGTCCTATGTACACAAGAGAAATTAACTGCTAACAAAAATCACCAAGTGGGAAGATACAATGAGTTGCTAAGAACTGCAAGAGCTTTGTCTAGTGTTCCCTGCAGCAGGGCTGGGTGGAGAAGCATTAGGAATGTATCAGTGTTTCTGATTGTAATTAGTAACTGATTTTCTACACTATAGAAAGGCAAAGCAGGGTTCTACTTCATAAGGAAACAGGTCTGAATAGATCTTCCATAACAGTAAACAACAACCAATTCCTATTTCAGAAATTAATAATTCAGATGATCCCTACAGATCATGTTTTCAGTTTGCTGGTAGCAAAATGTGGTGGCACTTAGTCTCAATGAAACAAATGAATAAGAGGAATCTCTTATGCATGTTTCATTGACACAAGGGATTTATCAGATCTAAAATCAGAAGATGGGATTGCCTGCCCTGAAATGATGACATCTTAAACCTCTTGATTTAAAAAAAAAAAAAAAGTCCTTACTGCTCTTACAGAGGTCGCTTGTGTATTATGGAATGCTTCCTAACTGTGTCTTTCACATCAGTAAACTGACTTTACTGCTTTAAATCAAATATCACATTGGAGCTACTTATCTTAATAAGCTTAATACTTATTGTCTGATACCACTATCAGTTGCAAGGGAATTTATCATGTCTTTTTCACATTGTCAAGTTAAAGTGATTGCTGCTTTTTATCTCCAGATATCTACTGCCAACAGATCTCTAGCTTAGCTTATTTTTTCTTCTTATTGGGCGGAGAAAAACAAACAAAAAAACCCCTGGTGTGGAATGTACATACCTATATTAGCAATGTGCAGTAACCCAGCAACGCCTTTGGCTGTCCCTGCTGATGGACTGTGTGTGGCGTTTTCAGAACGTTTTCTTTCTTCTTCCTCGGTGCCATCTGTCTCTTCGCTGGGGGTTCTTTCCACCAAACAGGTAACCACTGAACAGCCACTCCAGCGAACTTTGGAAACCTCATTCCTTCCCAGTCGTAAGAGTCTATCCATTCTCCAAAAGGACTTGGCATACGCTTTGTGAATCCATTCATAAGTATTGGTCTTGTCGGTCTCGTCATTGCCTGGTTTCTCGGAGAAAATCTTCTCTTTTTCCCTGTAATCTGCCTTGATTACTGTGGCGAAAGAATCTAGAATTTGCTGTTCATCCTTACTCTTTTTGTAGGAGGAATCCATTTGAGCAAGCTGGTCAAGAAATAAAAGCGGAAGCTCTGCTGCAACTGTTTCTGCAGCTGCCACGCCGTGAGAGCCATCAACTAACCCCAGAAAACACGTATCTGACTTATTTCCATAGTTGTTGAGCACAATGAATCTGTCTTCCGTGTCTCCCTGCCATGCGGAATTTTTATCTTGGCAAATTGCTAATGCTTTTATTAAAGAATTATTTACTTCCTTAAAAGTGCTGGGATTGTTAATATTAGCAAGATCACAATATGATGTAGGAGTGTGATTATCCATAAGGAATTCAAATGAATAATCAATTTTCTGCCTATGTGTCTCAGAATATTTAGGAATCTTGGTCAATTCTGAAATTAGTTTCTGTCTCTGAGCCAAAAGTGTTTTGTTGTCAGTCTTTCTTTGTGGGCTAGCAAAGCCCAGCAAAGTTAGGGCTTTGTGGGTTTTTTTATGATAAAGAAGGTGGTATGGATATATTGTTTGTTGACATGCAGAGCAAAAAATTGAAATGCGCTTGGAATCATCGTTCTCACGTGTAATTGTGACTTTCTCCAGGTAATCTTCCTCATCTCTGGAAAGTTCAAAATCAGGTGGGTTTGTTTTGTCCTGAGATGTTTCCTCCCATGTCATTCTGTAAAGGAGTTGAATATGTTTAGTGTTTTCATATTTTCATATTTCAATATTTTAATATTAGGTAACACTACATTTACCTAAGCCTTGTTCTCACTCTCTTATAAACTCTGAATTGCATCATTGTGTACTAATGCAAACATGGTCAAGAAACTGGGAAACCCATGTGAAATTGTATAAAAATTGTAACTAATAACTATGTTAAATATCAGTAATACAGCAAATTTAAGAAGTGAAAAGCTTGGAAATACAGAGTTCGTGACACAATTTAGATTATGCTTGTACCTAGTGAGGTTTCAGTCAGTTGTTTCCTCCTTGTGATTCAATGCATAGCCCCTGTGCCTTCACACTGTTAGAACTGTAAATATGATGTTCCTCATCAGGAACATACTGTTTATCACTTTCCAGACACGATAGTGGAGTGTAATTCCTACATGAAAAAAAAAAAGGCATATTCAAGATTAAGATTAAAAAAAAAAATCTACCAGTCTTGCGTGGGAAATAATGAAATGGGGTCGGAAGCACTGGTGTATCTCTTTAAGCAAATCTCACTCTCATTGCTATCAGTTTTAGTTGTGAGGACTTTAGGAGTCACCTGGAAAAAAAATTATACCATTGTATTTAGGCACACAGAAGATAAATTACATTTATGTGGACAATATTCTATTTTTTTTCTTGCTTACAAGGGCTAGGTTTTGCAATGTTCGTGTTCCTTTAATGTAGGATGGATTTTGAATGTGTCAGTTTCTGAATCAAGAAAGCATAATGAAGAACAAAAGTATTATCGAATAGACCAAGCAGTGTTTGAGCTTTTAGGTCTGTGGGAAACACCCCGGCTCCTTGAGCTGCGAGACCTGCGAGCAGCAGCACGCGCCCTCTGAATTCTCCAGCCGTCGGGGTGGAAGGAGAGGCACGCTTTGCAACAGAGCTCGCGGGAGAGCAACGAGGCTGAAAATGCGGAATTGAGGCCAGGTACTGTAAGGACATCAGAGGGTCTAGTCAGCACAAGCCTCTCTGCCCGTTCCCCAGCCGAAGCTAATCTCTTCCTCCTGTCCCCATGCACCTCCTTTCTCCCACTTCAGTGCCTTGCTCCAGACTCCGTCTTCAAACCGGTCTGTCTGTCCTCGGTCTCCTTCCTTGATACTGTCTTACCTCCCGAGTCCTGGGACTTCCCCTGTTCCCCGCACATACATTCTCTCAAATATCTAGTTCCAAATATTGCTCCTACTGCTAGCGATGGGGATATGCGCATAAAAAGACACCTTCGGTCTTCTCCTGTTATTAGCAAAGGGAGCACTGAGCGCCAGGACAAAATGCAAGGCTATTGCTGGGTCTGACACCTGGTGCTACAAACCCAAGAGCCAGAGCTCTTGGTAGAGTAAGGCCTAGTGAGGCACCGCCTGACAGAGGCCAGCCGGTGCAGAGGGGACTGCCTGAATTCAGCATCTACAGACTGGCATGTCTCCACTCAGCCACTGGCAAACTGATGCTTCTTTTAAAATATTGTAAATTTGGATAAATTTACAAGAATGACAAAAGGTGCACCACTGATGCCATCTCAGCCAAATTTCCAAGCCCTAGGTTAAAACCTGACAGTCTTGGGGGTTCTTTATAAAATAGTTATTAGAATTTTGGTTTAATACATGCAAAACAACATATTTTTCAAATCATATTCTCAGAAACAGCTAAACCATATTACCTGGAACTTTTTCAAATGTTCTGCTTCCGGCTTGGAAAATTTCAGTACGAACAGTTAATATCTGGCAGTGTTTTACATGAAAAAAAAAAAGTGGTTTTTTTTACATGAAAAAAAAAAGTGTTTTACATGGCACTGAAAACATGAGGCAACCCTATTGGTAGCAGCACTAATAATTCTGCCCATAATTTGAAATTAGTAAGAAACCATGTAAATATCAATATTGCTTAGGCAGTAGATGAAATTGTTTGAATGGCTACTGAGTCCTACAAAATGATGTGCAGCTAAGCCTTACAGCTGTTTGCACAACATCCTCTCCCCCTAGATCAGCACATTTCATGTACAGACACTGTAATAACATACAAAACCCTCACACTGTCTGAGAAGCTCAGCTTGCCACCCTACACATCATCTCTTCAAGTATGAAAACAGTGTTTACATCTGTTAATTGTGTTTATTTTATTTAGTGTTTAGTATTTATGTGTGTATGGATGAGAAATCAGCCCAAAATGTATTTATTACAGACTTCTATCCGCTCTTCTGAGATTTCTGACTTTCAGTTAACCTTTGTTAGAATCATAGAATGGTTTGGGTTGGAGGGGACCTCAAAGATCGTCCAGTTCCAGCCCCCCTGCCGTGGGCAGCGACACCTTCCACTAGATAAGGCTGCTCAAAGCCCCGTCCAACCTGGCCTTGAACACTTCCAGGGATGGGGCATCCACAACTTCTCTGGGCAACCTGTTCCAGTGCCTCACCACCCTCACAGTAAGGAATTTTTTCCTAATATCTAACCTAAATATACCCTCGTTCAGTTTAAAGCCGTTACTGCTGTCAATCCACCACCAGGGCAAACAGCAGTGGTTTAGCAGCGGTAATATTCCACAGCCACATTACAAGAGTAGCCTTTGGTAATTTCATCCGGCTTCAACCTCATCCATTTTCTGGGGCTCCCTCTTTAAACGTGATACAGCCACGCCTTAAAGTAACTATTTTGCAACTTGTTGTCTCTTCCAGGATTTCAGCTGGGAAGTACGTTTTCTTCTCTCACTATTTCTGTTTGTCACCTCTGGGTTATAAGCATTTCCATGATTTGTTTTTCAAGGCATGCATTTTTCTCCTGTGGTGACAGTTGTTTGACAAAATTCCTTCAACTGTTTGAGAATTACAAGAGCATTAAAAGACAAAGCCCCAAGCTCCTCCAGCTCCAATTAATCTTAATACACCTTAAAGAAGCAATTGCCTCTGATCAGCTGAGGTAGACCAATTATAAATTTTTTAATAGAAAATCTCTTCTGTAGAAAGTAATACTGACTAAAGTATTAGTAGAGCCACTTAAAAAAACCCGTATGACACTGTAGTATACCTTGTCCTTGCAGAGGTGAGCTTGCAGGTGGCTACAGCTCTCAGTCTGCTGTAGGACCAGTTTATGGGAAAGTCCATCTCTCCACAAGAGGTGAGCATCAGCCTCCTTTAGAAATGCCGCACCACTTTAGCGGGGCAAGTTAAGGAGGTATGTGATTAAAATTGCAGCAAAAGATATGCTTGTGCAGACCCCTTTTCCTTTATTCTGCATAGGTTGAATTTGAGACTGGGAGATCGCACAAGCCTCTTCACTGCCGTCATCGTGATGATGCATTCAGGAGTGAGAAAAATTAGGACTAATACATACAGAAAATCTGGTAAGCTGCTTTTTGTCAGCCTTTTAAATATGAACCCATTTTATATTAGGTGTATATAAAAGCCCCTTGGATTACAGACAGGAAACCAAGAACTTTCAAGAAAATGTTAGTTTGACCTCAGTAAACTTAATTCTTAACAAGCATACTTTATAGGTGTTTATATCTCAGCAAGTGGCTGTAAGTGCTAACAAATCACAATTTCAGAGCACCAAAACTGTCCCACTTTATTACAATGCGTAAATAACCAGGATAATATACATAATACTTCATGCAGAACAACAAGATACGCTACGACTCTTCAGTTGCAATCATTTTGCTCATAATTATTAAAAGGGCAGTCCTGATCTTAGTTTTTTATAGTATGCATACACTGCTTACGGTAATAGCTGAAAACCTTGTAAAAATTAAATAAAAAAGGAAACATTTCCTTTGTTGATCTCTTATGAAGTAAAAAGATTAGTCTGTATTTTCTTATCTCCTTGCATTTCCCTCATCGGGAACAGATACAGACTCGCAAATTTTTTGCTGTCAGGTTAAAGGATAACAGTGAAATACCGACAGCACAATACATGAAGCTAAAGCACTCTCAGCCTCAGAGAGCAAAAGATAAAATTCAGCTTTTTAGCTCACTGCAGTTTCCCTGTGCCTATTTAGGGAGCCAAAACCCAGCACTGTTTAATGTTCTGAGCTGAAAATAGAAGCAGATAAAAAAAAATTAGGAGAGAGAGAATGGGGAGGGAACCACAGTTTGAGATTGTGTGTGTTTTCAAGGGCAAAAGTCCTATTTACCGTTTGTGTCACAGGAAAGAGCCTCTTGGTGAGTGCTTAGTCCTGCTGCTAGGAAAGGGAGGCTGCTTCACCTCTCTGCCGTACGCTGCCCTGTCTGTAAGAGGGGCAGAACACGAGACTGCAGGCCAGGGGCTCGTGTGGCAGAGGATACCATCGTCCCAGTAAACCTTGCATTTCTGGCAACCTTCCCTAGCTGTGGCACTTGGGAGTTGCCTGCTGTTCATATAGCAAGGCAAGATTATTTTCTGTTTCTACAGTTTGGCACTACAATCTCATTTTTTAATTAGTGAAGATGTCACTAATTGAGCTTCGAGAATCCAAGATCTGATTTGTATCCAAACAGCAGAGTCCCATATGCAGTCATCTCCCTCTGACACATGCCATTCCTGTCTCCACCCAGAGTATGCTTCTTCCTCGCTTACCTTTGTCACAGTCAGCACTTAACTTACTCTCTAGTCCTGAACTCCTTCCTCCACGAGTTTTGTTTTTTTATTGTTGTTATTTGCTACGTATTTGTGGTCTTAGAAAATGGTGACTATTAGGGATGCTGAAACCAGCACTGGGAAGATGCCTGCTTGTGACAGGAGGAGGCAGAGAAGGGCTGTGTGATGTAAAATGGAGGTCACAGTCTACCCGAGCTTCTCATCACAGTATTATCCACTAATATGTATAAACAGGCCTCGCTGCTGCAAATTCTTGCTGAATGAGCACCACCTTCCTTGCTCGTCTTTTCCCTCTTCCCTGCTTTACTTTTTGCCATGCCTTTTCTCTGCTCGTGCCTCAGCCAGCGCTTCTCTCTCGGTCCCCCTTTTCCCATGTGCCTGTGATGCCACGAT